ATTGTAAATGTCAGGGTGGGTGTGGGTGTGGATGGGTAACTCCTCGATAACTATCCACACCCACACCGACACCAACCCCATACCCACACCCTTATTTCGAAAGTATTTTGACGAGATGATTAATAAAAAAAAAACTTAAATTAAACACATAATTGAAGAAATGAAAAATTTGTTACTAAATCGAATATTAAAAAAAGAAACTACTAGATATTAATAGAAAGACGACTTCACTTCCTTCTAATCATCTTGCTGAGATTTTAACTAGATTAGAAAAATTTTGAGCATTAGGTCTCTTAAGAGGATCTTTTAGTTTGATTGATTATCAAGTAACAGTATATATTTTTTCAGACATTTTGTCATGGAAAAAATCTATCTTCGACAAATATTAAACAAAAATCAATTGTTTTTTTTGAACTGATAACGTTGATGTTCTTTTTTCTCACATCAATATGGTGAAATATTTTATCCAGCAGTTAAAATTAAAAGGGTGGGTGTGGTTATGATTGAACAGAATACTAACACTGATGCTCACACTCTCAACTTGTCAGACCCTATCTACTCATTTATTAAAAAAACGCGAGAAAAACTAATTTGCTTTAATTTTATATTATTCAGGCCTCACAAGAAGATTTTATTTTTGCCAAAAATGTAATATACATAAACAAAAGTAAAAATAATTATTCCATATTTAATGTAGAAGTATATATATATGACAAATAGAAAATTATATCCAAAGACAAAATCTTGATAATTCAATATCAACTCTTCTATGAGGAAAACATTTTTGAACTATAGAGCGATGTAGCTTGAATTTTTTAGGAATAATTTGTCTGTGAATATGAAAAAAGAACAAATTGCTTCAGACTTTCAATTAATTGCCAAAGATCTTAGTCGAAAACATTTACATTTCGAACTAAACAAAAATATTACCTTTTCTTAATGTATTGTTTTTTTATTTACATACCAATAGATTTAGATGTTTCTAAAGTGTCTGCTCTTTTTGAAACATCAATATGATGAAAGTATCCTGATTGAATATTCGGGTGCAGGTATGGGTGTAACAGCAATTACGTACATTTTTGACATCCATACCTATGAAAGAGTTGGAAATCTTGTTAAAATAAAAAGCTCTGCATGTTTACGTATTAGCCCTCAAATTAGGATATTGACAAGATAAATGGATTTAAAAACACTCCATCATTCAACAAAGCATCTTGGACTAGAAACATTCCATTGATATGAAATTTTTTGGATATGTTAGTATTGCAGTGAAGAGACTATGACGGAATTTTCAGACCCACAGCATGCTGTTTTCACAAACTATTTTAAGGCATTCTATCTAACTTAAGGAAGTGAATTATCATGCGTAATGTAAACCATTTATTGTTCAATATTAGCATGAATAAAACGACTTCAACCAAGTAAAACTATTTTAGAGCTTTTGTCTTGTCACCAAATCAGCATAAAAGTGACATATGAATTGCTTCGACTTAGATAGCAAGAGATGTATTTATTGTGTTCTAGACATTCCGTGGACTCCATTTAGGTCATTAGTCAAATGCACAACTGATAGAAACAGTTAAAAGTTAACTGTAACACAAATCAATATACTGAAGTATTTTTTCGTTCGACAAGATGTTGTTAATTTTTTTTTATTACTGATGTTTTCTAACTCGTTTTATAAGTTAGTTATTGACTGATAATGTGAACAAAGTTCACGAAATATCTCAATTATGATTAAAATGAAAACAAAATAATTCATTAACTATAGCTTTGTACACTAATGGGAACGATATTTCGAAATGCAAGTGTAATGCATTCGTGTATACAATTATTAGTATATTTCTTTTCATCATAACAACATAAAACGTGAAGAAAGACAAAAAAAGAGAAACAACATTGAAAAAACGAAATACATGTGATGAAGAATGCATGTATGAAAATAAATTGCCTACCCGGTGAAAATGTCATGCTTCATTGACTCACATAAACATACATCGATGGGAAAAAACCAAGTAATTTTGTCAACGATATATACCAAGGAGAATTGATTGCAAGCATACAAAAAAAATATTCGAACACTCAAGTATCACTTCGTATGTAAGTATATTTGATTTTCAAAATTATTAGGCTAGACATAAATAAATTCTTCATTTCGATATAATAAAGATACATGAATGCTTTATTTTCAAAAATAAAGATAGAATAAGGAATTAGAAAATATTTTTTTCTGTCATAAATAAAATGGACAAATATCTAGTATAACAGCAGTGCACGTTAATCAGTATTATTTCTTATCACCGACATCATTTAAAATAGCAGGAAAAGTGAACTATCATCATAGACTTTTTATTCATGTAAAAAACATTTTAAAAAGCTATTTGAAACTTGATCAACTCAATAAAAATCATTGAATATTAAAGTTAAAACCAAATATCTTTCCCATTCGCAGAATAGGTGAGACATTATGATTTTTCAAATGTTATGCATAGGCAAACTGTTAAACGAAAGCGAGTGTAGGTTTTCTTGTGTATGCGCATCGATCAAAGAGGGCAGCGATTGGATGGGTTTCATCAACTGATGTGTTTGTCCTTGTCAAAAGTTAGCACATATAAAAAAGGCACATGAGAAAAGCATTTAGCCTGATCAAATCGAACGAATTCAGTCTTGTTTTAAAGCGGTGAAATTGTTACAAATGAATTGGAGTAAGGTTATGAGCGTCACTAGACAGCTTCAGGTTCTTTCTAGGTGAAGAAAAGTGTAGGCTAAAATCCAGCTACAATCTGTAACAGTGATGGGATCGGTTCGTGTTTTTTTTGAACCGAACCGAATCGAACCGAAAAAATGTCAAACCGAACCGAACCAAACCGATCGAATTTTTCAAAACTTTGAACCGAACCGAACCGAACCGAAAAAGTTTTAAACCGAACCGAACCGAACCGAACCGAATCCGAAACTTAAGATAAAGAAGGTTTAAAAGTTTTTATTTTTTTCTAAGAATATTCCTCTAAAAACCTTTATTGAAGACATGCTTAAAACGTCATTAATAATTTTAAAAACGAACTAGAAATTTGTAGTAGAAATAATGTTAAGAACATGGGTATTTTCGTTTTCAGAATAAAAGAAATTTCGGATGATAGAAGACTAGTTTATTTTCAGTAGTTAGCCAATTTATTCCGCTAATCAAAAGCCGCTCAAAGTATTTTTTTTGTCGTCGCTCAGTGCAGATATATAGGATCTACATTTTATATGATACACCCGTTTTAATAGAACAATATTAAGTAATACTTTATAATAAGTATTTACCACCTTATTAAATCCAGTTTTACTCTCAACTTACAAGACGACTTACATGACAAAGAGAACCTAAAATTGAGAGAAATAATCTACCCATCATTTGAAAATGGACAATTCCAATGACACTTTTAGGCTTTACTTATCGATCTATTTCGAAATATCATTTTGGTGATATTTTCTTAACTTAAATGTTCATGGTTATTTATTCCTTGAACCTTAAAAAGAAAGTAATGTTATCGTTATCAACTAAGAATTATTAGAACATGATAATTAATTGATACTTATATATATATATGAGTACTTCATACGGAAGTGTAGTCTGTAAAAGGACGCACTGACTGAAACTAATGAGTAGTCGAGTAAAAATAAGAAATTTGCTACACTTTCTTTATCCATTCTTAGTATATATATTTGTTACAGATCCCTTTCTCTGTAATGAAACTTGATGTTTGTAAAATCTTCGGTTCAATTCAGCCGAAATTCAATTTTATTCAAATTATTATCTTTCCTTTTCTTTTTTCTTTTACATATACATGTATTTTCATATATAAGAGCGAGAGAAATATATAAGTGAAATACAAGGAGAGAGATGAATAAATATCCTCTACTCCAGCCTAGACCATCTTATATAAAGAAGATGACGTCCAATGTGTTCTTTTATTGGAATGCCTTTACATTTAGAACAGAAGAGAGTGATAATTTATTAAAATTGTGACGGCCGAATAGAAAAGTAGGAGAGAAAAGAGGAAGAGAGAAATAATAGGAGAAAAGAATAAGAAATAAAGATGTATTTCAGAGCATTCTAACAAAGTTAAATATATTTGAATGGAAATCGGTTCCGAATACTTCGTAACCGAACCGAATCGAACCGAAAAAGTTTCAAACCGAACCGAACCGAACCGATCGAATTTTTCAAAATTTCGAACCGAACCGGTTTCGGTTCGGTTCGGTTCGGCTCGGTTCGGTTCGAAACCGAACCGATCCCATCACTGATCTGTAACATATCAACATGAGTTAACTTGTCAAGTTGTTTTTGAAAATAAAGCACAGAATATCTTTCATACTATCATATCAAAATTTAGATTTAAAATGCTACTTTCTGATAATGTTCTGCAAAATCGCTGAATCTTGCCGTTTTTGCAACTGAATTGAAGAAAAGATGACAAGATCGTATTTTATCACAGTATCCGATGCAGATGTCATTTCTATTAAATCCAAGAAAAGTCAAAGCCCAACGATACTGCTTTGTATTCTTATGCTTCTTTCCCCAGATACTCGAAAACTTCAGATACAAAGA